TTCAGAAGGATGAATTTGGCCAGGATCTCAACTGGAGTAAAATACTCCTACACACATATAAATCTCTTTCTGACATATCAGAGCAGCAAGAACAACAGCACTCCCTGTAGTGATGCTAAAAAGCTTTGGCTACTTCTCACATTTTGAGGAGGTAGCAAAACCTCTGTTATAACACCTGGGATGAAGACCTCTGCAACAAGGGCTATAGTGTGGAGTGAATACAACTCCCCTGTTTTCTTCACTCTGCAGCAAAGCAGCAGCAGCTTTTTGCCAAGAAAGCTGGACAAAGAAAACAGGCCCATAAACAGGTTTTGTCCATGGCACTGCACGACTGGATTAGGAACAGTTTAAGTGTACTTCTCTGAGTCAGCACATACCAACTGACCTTGATTTCTCCCTAAGTCCTTAGGGAAAAAACAAACCAAACCAAACTTTCTCATGTGATTCCTAGCCAGGCTGCTGTCTGAATGAGGGTTGGAAGAAAGATCGCAAAGTTTATGCCTGCATCTCCTCTGCAGGTGTAATAAGGATCCAGCAGCCAAGTCACTTGAGAGGCATTTTTTTTGGTAATCAGAGCAATCTGTGCTTTCTCCTTGACCTTCCCCGGTGACGAGGATTCTTGCATTTCTTCCAGCAGCTGATTCAAAGGAGAGGTTAGTACCATGTTATGCAGAAGTGTTTAATAGCTACCCAAGGTATGAGCTTCCTCCCACAAAGGACAAATACTTTTGAACCTCCTCTCCACATAATGAATTAGAAAGGGCCAAAAATCTTAAGACTGTTCCTGAGCTTTTCTTTAAGAGGCTTGGCACTGGTTAAAAGTGCTAAGATAACTTGTCAGGAGCTTGCTATCCATTATTCACTTTCATGATTTTTTCAAATCATCAAAACATAGATAAAATCCAATAAAACTAGGTAAAATACATTCCAGCAAGCCTGATCTAAGGTAAGCCTATTCATTAATTATAACTGGTCTCAACACACAGGCCAGCCTCATGAGAGTTTTCTCCCCAATTATTTTTATTTCAAACTGAAAATACTCATCTTTTTCAAAATCCAAACCAAAACTTGAACTCTGCAATTAACTGTAAGACTTTGAGTAAATCTGGCAATCTTTCCTAGTCCATACAGACATTTAGATATGACCAGCTGGGAGGAAGGTATTAGCTCCAAATCCATACCTAGTTTAAGGGTGATTTTTTTTTGGAGAAAAGAAAGAGAAATTAATGACCTGGCATCTCATTCTACCTCCCTGATAAAACTCTGGAGATCAAGCAGTATATCGACGGTTGACTTCACACACTGACTGACAACCAGGTTACAAGTGGGCTGCTCAGTAGTATCTCAATCTTTCCTGGCCTACAGAGAGCAAAAAACTCTGTCAGACTATGAAAGAGTACTTGCAGGAGGGGAACCTAACACAACAGATTTCTTCTCTTTCCTTTTAAAATATCACCAGCTGGGTTCATATAGCTCATTTACCTCTGTGATCACTTGCTTATCAAGACAGGATAAACTAAGCCAACACAGGTATCCAAGAAGTCTATTCAATTGGAGCTGAGCCAGGGAATTAAAACGGGAGATATAAAAGAAGCCCCTGAAAACCGTTCTCTAGAGAGCTCCCAACACTAATGCAAGAAAGTACGTACACATCTATAGCAGAAATCCACTCAGAAAATGCCTGCAGTAAAACTCAATAAAATGCAAAAAGGTAAGTTTTAGCTTGTCTGTATTTATGTGGAGTTTACAGTAGGAGCATGTTAGCTGAGAAAACAGAAAAATGCAGCACAAGCCAGCAGTTGTGGTAACAAGAGGAAGGCAACTGTGATCAAGACGTGGAATACTCCACTATCCAAAAGACCCCAACTTCTGCAACACACACATTTCACTTCTCCACAGGAAAAGAAAAAGTCAGTCAGCAAAAATATTGGTGATCTAGTCAGTTTTCAATTAATACTTTCATTAATACCAAGTCATTGTGGAAGGGGCATTTGGCACAATCCCTGAACAAAAAGGAAAAGCTACCATTGATAATATTGACTATTCATAGCACCCAGCTATCGTTACTCAGCTCAGGTGGGGAGGACACACAGAGTCAAGTGCTGAAGCTTTGCCTTTCCACATCCCAGGCTGCCACATGCAGTCCCAGCTCTCTTACAGGGAATGGGGAAGGAAGGAGCAGGGCATGAAATCACCAGACAAAAACCACAGAGAAAGTTACGTTATGGGTAACATAACATCCCAGCATGGGATGTTACACCAAAAGGAATCCCAGGATGGTCTGCTCCTGGGACCACATGGAATTGCCCTGGCAATGCTGCAAGATAAATGCCTGTTTTCATAACTCTCCTGCAATTCTTCTCAATCTTTCCCACATAACATTCCTCGCATCCTTGAAGTGACAGACATCTGCCAAGGACCTGCAACTTCCAGCTCTCACATACCTTTGCTAGCTCTGCCGTCAAAGACCCATGACTGCAGCTCTAACGAGCCAGAAGGGCCCTTGCTTTTAGGGTACAGCAGCAAAAAAAGAGCACGTTCTTCCCTTGAGGTGATCCCGCGGGAGGTGAAGGCAGCAAGGAAAGGTAGCAGCAAGCCAAGCCGCAGAGGAGATGAGAAAATGTCAGGCTCCTGGCAGTACAAAATGGCAGCTGAACCCTGGCAAAGCGCCAAGCTGTTCAAAGCGGGAACTGAGTAGTACACGGGGCCCTAATTACTATTAGCATAAGAAGAGAGCGGGGCAAGGGCTACCCAGTCACTCTGAAGGGTCACGGAGAAACCATCACAAAGCGAAGTTTTCGGGAGGGACACAAAAGACCACAATGATGTAGCTGCTCGGTGGGGTTTACCCGCAGGGTCTCCCATGCGTGAAGTGCGGCCCGGGAGTAAGTACAAAGCCTGTTTAAGAGAGCAGGCACTGAATCGAGGGTGCCTGGCCGTGTCTGCAGAACCCGAATGGCTCCACCACACAGAAAAGATCATATGAGAAGTGTGGCGCCGAGGACAAAAGACCTTACGGGGAAAAATAGGCTGTTTGTGCAAATATGAATAAAATCCGGGGTGAACAGATTTAGTCAGGAATTTTTCCTTTTTAATCAGAAAAGACTGTTTTCCCTTTTCCCCAGATGAAGCAGACGAGATAAAAACATGAGAAAATTTAACAAACAAAATCTGAACATTCTGATAACCGCTTTTTTTTTTTCATTTTGAATGTCATATAAACAATATTTACAGATCCATTGCTTCATGCAATTAGCCAGCTGTCTGGGTGAAATTAATCAGTTGTAATAAAAGTATTAGACATTGAATTTCAGACTTAAAGCTATATGGATATGAAAATTTCTAGATTCACTGTACTTTGCACATCTGGAGGCACATACAGACACAGCTGAAGTTTAAAATCAAAAATTCTCTTTGCAAATCAAGAGATGAGAGTTTGCACCGAGATGTGAAATCCACAGAAGACAATGAGAATCTGTGTATTAAAAACCAGCCTTGTTTAATAGGCACAATCTGGTTCTCCATGAAGAGAAATTTTACTGTTTACACACTGTCACCTCCCTTTTTCTCTATGCTGCTCTTGTTTCTCCTATTAACGTTTTCCACTACCACAGACACCAAGAACCCTGTGTATACCATAAAAATGCTTCTCTCAATGCAAGGTCAACTCCTTTCCATACAAGACAACCATATGCTGTATCCCAAGTGTCATCTATCAGGACAACCTAAGTTAGAAGCTAATACTGCCATCAAGATTCTCCATCTCATTTGTTATCATAGGTTATCATACTGAACAGCTAAAGATGTGCCTTTTGGATTTTAGACGCTAATGCACTTGGACTGGTAAAAATCTTACCCTTGTACCGTGCCCTTGCTTTCAAACATCACTTTTTCCCTGCCTAAAATCCACAGTCATGGGTTGCTTCTGTCTTTAAAAACAAAACCAAACCCAAAACAACAACAAAACACAACCCATGGTATCTGTCTGTTTAACTGACTTCTTTCTAAGCACTTCTCTCCACACCAACAGGAACGAAGCCCACCTTTAGAATGTAACTCTCAGCTTCCAACTGCAGGCACCCCCATAGAAGAGATCATATTCTTCTCAGACACTGAAATATTTCAACTGCCATATATCCTTCCTGACAAACATGATTTTAAACTATGCTTTTTCTAGCTTAATCACAGCTTTGCTACATACACCAACAGACTTTGACATGCACCGATGCAAGCTAAGCTCAGGGACATATACCTAAGGCACACATCTTAATTCTCATTTACAGTGCCCACTGTAAACCATCCAAACACCCAATTGAAACAGTTTATCCTGTAAAAGTTCACCAATCAGCAACATATTTCAGAACACAAATTCGGAGAAGCACACACCGATTTTCCCAATTAGGACAGTTGCTTATTAAACTTGTCATCTTCTTTTTAAATAAACTCCGTATTTCAGATCGTTTTAGAACATCCATTTATTCCCACAAATAGGTGTGTATCTAATGCAACATATTTATGAAGAAAAATGAAAATCAGCCCCTATCTTGATTTTGCATAGATGACTATATACACATAGTGAGAGGGGAAAAAAAGATACACCACTGTTAAATACTGTTAGGACTGAAGAAGCAAGAGAACATACTCTATTTGCCTTTCAAATGCAGTTTCTAAAATGCTGACTTGTAGTGATTCTTAGTTCTGGATTTTGCTGCCATTCACAGTTAAATGCGTTACAGTCACAGAACGCACGTCAGCAAGCAGCAAAAGCAAGATCTTTGCTTTTTAAAAAACTGTTCTTTCGATAGCAATGACAAAAATGATTCTGTATTAAATATCTAACTATCTGTGATGAAAGGACAAACCCAGGAGTTTTTGTAATCTCCAGCTCACTCATTCTGTAACTCAGAACAAGAAATAACGCAAACCGATCGACTGTCAGACCGAAATGTTCAAACTCGTAATCCTGACTTGCTCATTTAAATAAAAGATAAGTCACTTACAGAACTGGATGAACAATCAGCTCTGGACTATATGATTTGATTACTGTTGCTGCATCTTTGGTACAAAACACATGGGATAAATCTGCACCCTAAAAAAGAAAATTTGCAAACAGGATTATCAAATTTATATTTAATAGTAACTCTATCATTCAAAAGTTTACTCCGTGAGTAATTCACCCGAATTCCTACTTCTCAGCAGTTAAAGCAAACTTTATTATTTTTCCTGTTTTGGCTTAGATTACCATGCAGAGTTTTGGAGACATTTTTTTTGCATCTATACTCCAATATGATTTTTTTCTGTTTCTTACTGATAGGATGACTGAAAACACAGATCTAGAACCTGTACTCACTTGAGAAATGTTTCTCATTTGTAGATTAGCAAAGACTAAAATGTCACAAGTACAAGAAGAAGAAAGACAAAAGAACACAATTGAACCAGAGACAAGCTATGTTTGAGAGGAAAAAATAATATTGTCATATACTTGCAAAATATAGCTACAACAATCTGTGAGTACATTTCCAGTCCTACCATTTTTACTCAATGGGCCAAATCGGTACCAGATGAAGGCTGGTACAATTCCAACACTACCCCTTAAGTTAAATAAATATTAAAGCTGAGGAGTTCAGCCTCAAACTTCTGTTATGGACTCAAAAAAATCTGACGTACACATAAAAATTATGTAAGCAGGGACCAAAAAGCCTGATCTTCTATCTGTCATGCACATTGACATTTCCCAAGGTTAAGAAAGTGTCTCCTCTGCTTTACTACATTTAACCTTTCAAGCTACTAAGTAATGCAGAGATTTGATCCTGTGACTCTTTATGTGCAGATGCAATGGTCTGAGACCAAATGACTTCAACAGGGGAGGGACCTCCTAATATGCTACTGTATTTGCACCTAGTGAACAGAATGCTGAGTGGCCTCAATATCTAATGTAAGATCATTAAATAATACCATTTCAATTTTACATCCTTGAGGGACTGCTTCTGGGGGATGGGGATGGGAATATCTGGATTGGTTACCTCCTTATGGAAACAAATCTTCAAACATACACAGTGAACTGAAAGTACTAACACATTATCTGTAGATTACTGAAAAGTATACGTATTGTGTAAGCATAATTTAGTTACATATAATAATCATCACTGTATTTATGTAGTCTGCAGTAAATATATATTTCAGCCAGTTAGTATGTCACTAAAATAAGGAAGTTCATACCTCTAAGGAAAAAAAAAACCAACTAAGAGAATACTTGTGCTAAAGTTTATAATGTAAATAAAATGTGCTATTAAGAAGTTGTTAAATCCAACCAACAGTCTTTAGACTTACAGCCTGTAAGAACTGTACTACCCTAAAGCTGTAAGTATTGGAAGTTACTTCATTCAACACACTTATCAGGTCTAGAAAAAAGAATTCTGAAGAACTGACTGCAGCACTGAAAACATAACTTTAAACATTAATCTAAAATTATTTTATTGCTCACTTTTGGAGAAAATACTTCATCGAGTTTTGGAATTCCCTATCCAAGTCACTGATAAAACAGTTCTTCCTCTGAAATATTCAATTTTTGACATATGCTTAACTTTACCTTACACAAAGAGAATATTTACAGAAAACACAGCAAATGACACATATTTACAAAGTATTTCTACAAACCCAGGACTAAGAATTTTCTTTGTTAAATAGAAGACCTTTTAGAACTCCAATTTCATGTGCAGCACAGAACAAATGCTTTTATAAAATGGCGCTTAGCCAATATAAATGATGAAAAGTTCATTTTGGATTGGCATAGAAGATCACGTACCACTTTGAGAGCTGTAATTGCAGCAAAATACGGTGCTCCAGTGTATCTAGAATGAAATACATTTCAGTTAGGAAACAAAGTCATGAGGTTAGAGAATCTGGACGTCAGCCTGCCATAATGAAGTCCCAAATTCAAGAGCAATTTTTTTAAAAAGCTTTATCTTTTGCTTACTGTAAAAAACACATAAAATCTTGCTGTATGGAAGCCAATCTCAAACCTTGCTTTGATTTCAAAGGCACAGGATTTCACCTTAGCCACCTGGTCCTTTCACAGAAATATTCATAAATATCATACCATAAAAAAGCAAACTACTCTCAGACAATCAACTTAAAAGTTTAGAGAGAAACAAACCAAACCAAGCCAAAAGAAGAGGCAAGCCCTGTTTGCAAGCCAAATCTGGGATCTGTGACCTGGATCAATCCCATCTGGTTTTAGATGCTTAACTGAAGTGCCTTCCAGTTGCCCTAAATTCTCTTTACAAACACTGAATGAAGAGACATGGACCTGCAGAGGTGCCTACTTCCACCAAGAGCAAAGAACCTAAGCCCATTAGACCACAGGAAAACTAACTCCTGGCTAATCGACCCAGCTATAAGACAGCACCTTTTTGCTGTTTACAGCGTTTTTTATTAATACTTAATGGTAGATTTCCAATAGCAGATCTCTGACAGGAGAAATATGCCATCTCTACTTCAAAAGGTGAAAATTCAAAGTATTGTACAAATTACTGAACGTGGCCAAGAAAATAATAGAGCTTGTTTTATTTCTAGGTCAGTACAGCATTTAACTGATTTATGCTGTTATCTCTTTTTCCCTTGAAACACGCTATTTCTATTGCTTCCGAACATAAAACAAGATATTGACAGAATCTAGTAAACACAACCATTTATCAAAATAAAAAGGGTACAGTAAGGAAATATTCTATTCCTGATTTGAAAGACCCAGCTCCCAAGATACCAAAATATTAAAAAAACCACACGTGCCACTGTCGTACTCTATTCTGCTTATTCAATAGCTTCATCATGCAATGGGAGAAGAAAGCAGAGACAGTTTGGTGGTCAAAAAAGACAGGGAAGATAGACACAGACACAAACAGAGTTTTATGTTTCGACCACATTCACTCCCAAAATATTGCAATGCAACCACAGGGAAATGTGTTCTTTCCTAAGTATGCATGGGACATGATGATGGACTTGTAAAGCGCTCTGGAAAATACTAATGTTTTAAATGTGAGTCTGAATGCCTCCTACAAGCGGTTGACATCCTCAAAATTCTCTCAGAAACAAAAATCAGATTTCTGTTTAACTTACTCTTGACAGCCTCCAACAATGCCTATGCGCCCATCTTGACCTTTATGCTTCTTCCCGGTTAGAGGAGGGATGACGTTGCGCACCAGTTGAAAAATATTCTCCATATCCTTTAGTGAGTGTGTTCTGTGCAGTGAAAAAGATCTCTCTATAACTGAAAAGAAAAAAACAAGTGTTACTTTGATGTTCCTTCTTAAACTACCGCCAGCATTTATTTTAAGCACTCGCAAACACTAATAAAATCACTCAAAGACATAGGAAGTGACATACTTGTAAAAACCGAATGCTTCGTCACCGAAAGGCCTTTAAAACAGTGAGTATCTAGGGAAGGTGATAATTTTAAAAATGAATTTAGGATGTGATGCAGAGAATATTCCCACTGACTGCTCACAGTCCTAATTTAGGGCTCTGGTACAGAAAGAACCAACAGCCCAGAATAGTTATATGAACATTTTTTTAAACTAGAAATATCTTCTTAGTTCAGCCTGAAATCACTTCCGTAATTAAGCGCAACTGAAATAGGAACACTCAGTAAGGACTAAACACATCCAGACACACAACAACCACAGAGCAACTAAAACCACATTTTAAATGTACACCCTACCTTATTTTTCGCTTCCCCTTAAAGACTTCTACCTTTTAGCAGAATCAGGCCCTACCTCACCACTTTTTTTTTACTTAGGCAGGTGGTTACAAAGCGCAATGGAAGTCTTTCTGCAAAACTACAGCCCAACGCACTAGATACAAACACTATGAATACCACAAAAAGGTAACTTTTAGCTATAATACAACTACAGATCTCTGATGCAAAACTACATGTCAAGCTACATGTTAAAACTGTGCACTGAGAAGGCTATATATTCAAATTACTGTTTCAAAAGACTAAGAAAATTAGATTAAAAAAGTATTTCAATGATTACAACTGAAGAGAATTAAACCATTTACCTAACATGGGACAAATCTGAATATCACTTCTTCTATCAACAATGTGTTAACTACAAATGGCAGCAAATGCACTAAAAGGCTAAGTTATAATATTTCAACAAAACTCATTAACCGTACAGTTCTGTTCAGAAGAGTGGTTTGGTTAAACGTTAGTAGGCCGTAGCTATGCGTACTTTCTTTTTTTTAGCTCTTTTAAAAAGCTTTCAAAGAACCGCTATATAGTAACATAAAATTATCTCAAATATAACTCCCACAATACTCATTTTCAGCTGTATAAAACTTAGTAAGCCCTACCCTCAACTCCAAAATCGAAAGGAGAGGAAAAAAAAACAACCCAAAAAAACACAACACAAAAAAGAGGAAAAACTGTTCCAGAAACATTGGACATAATAATGTTGGGGGGGGGGGAGAACCGTAATAAACAAGAAACTTTGCATCTGTGTGCTATCTGCAGAAAGCATCTTTTCCTCAGTCTTCCAGAGAAGCTAAATCAGTCGTGCTAATCTTCAGTAATAAAATGCTTTGGTGTTCAATAATGATAAACACTTCTGGCTGATATTTTGCTGTTAAAATCCTTTTGTAATACAGGCATCCCATTCCTACCGAGATAGAAAAATCAAGGGGAAAAAAACATCCTGTTTTGGATTATGGCCAAAATAGCACTGCAGTGACCCAGAGGAGAAGAAAACGCTCGTCTCCTCTGGAAATAGGGCAGATTATTTTCTTTAGATCGCACTTCACACATTCACTGCTTTTCAACCACACAAGAAATACACTTCTTATATACCCTGTAACCCTTAAAGTGCAATGTTGCTAAGAAGGTCCTCTGTTTCTTTGTTGCATTTGTTTATATCTAAATACAAAGTAACTGCATAATAAGGAGAGAAAACAGTATTATCCAAACTGCAATTCTTCATAGAGCCTCGCTTACCTACAGAAACACTTAAGGTATATTTAGCTATAAACAACTGAAATCTCAGTTTCTGAAAAGATCTGCTGCCTGAAGCGTTATTTTCACATTTTATTAAAAACCCTTTGTCACACCTTCACCAATTAAAAGATTAGAATCCCCAGCTGCTCCTGCTACAGTTATATATATATATATATCGCATTTCTGCACAGTGTAATATGACTGTACGCCTGTAGGACGAAAGCCAGCAAGAAAAACTGAACTTTAGTTTCAAGTTTTTACAGATAATGAAACTCTTTCAGTGAAAAACCTCCCAGAAGAAATGGTAAGGCCTTGTCGGTACCATTGACCGAGTCTAGAACCTCGAATGGTTTCCTAAGGGATTTTCACTTCAGGTTTCCTTTTACTTTAAAAGCGAAAACAACATGTAAAGCACAGAATCAGTGTGTACGCCGTGATACATCTACGAAAGTCTGCTGCCATCAAGGAACTCTACAGACCAGCTCTCCACTCGGGAAGAACCACCACCAAGCCAGCCAGCCCAAACCCTCAACAGGCCTCACCATCCAGTGCCCCGCGCGTTTTTACAGGGAAACGCAGTATGTAACGTCGAACTGAAAAGGCTCCAAGAGTTTCTCAGGAATCAAGGAATGCCCTTTAGGATCTGGTATGCCAGATTATTCAACACTAAGGCTGGGTGGTTTGTTGTTTGGGTTTTTTCTTTTCTTTTCAAACCACGCTTTTTTTTGTCCCTAACAGTGCAAAATTCAGAATGAAAACAGGAGACCTGTGTCGTTTCCACACGGCAGGCTACAACCACCCAGCCCCGAGCTGACTCTGGTTGCAGCACTGGTAAGAGTATCCCGGTATTCCTCCTGCTCATGCACTCTACCTCCACGTACAAAGAGACTGCAATAAAGATAAATGACACAGAGCCACAGATCCTGAAAAGTCTGTTAATGAATGCTAATATCCGATTATCAGCTTCTGGCCCACACGCAAGGTATGGAAGGAAAAGTCTGTGCATAAACACCAATTCTAGAGCTACTGCTTTGTTTTTTTCTTTAAAATAAATTCAGATATCAAAGAATTTATAAGTGAACTGGTGTAGAAGAAAAACAGATGCCAATATTTTCATCTTCTATTACACCTACTAAAGTAACATGATGTTTAATTAAAGGATGAGATTCAGAATTCTGATTTAAAGAAATTTATAAGGAAGCTGGATTTTAAGATTTGACTTACTTCAGTGTAGGCAAAACTCCACTCTTTCCCCAACCCCGAAAAAACACATGCACAGCCTTAACTTCATACACTGGGTTAGGCTTGTTAACTTCAACAGCAGCAGAATTGCTGTACCTGTTTCCAGATAGCTTTCAGCAAATGTGCTACTTGCCTTTTATATATAAAGCCTGTCCTAACTTCACTTTACAGAGGCGTGAACGTGGAAAGAAGTCCCAAATGTTTACAGGGTTCAAAAGGTGTGATTTTGCTCACTAAAAATTGTTATAACTAATGTATCTACATTAAATAATCAGTACAATGGCACGAATGATGTTTTAATTGCGTTTTACATGACGGACACCTTCACCACAATATTAAATAATTCCAATTAGCTTTTATTTTCAAAAGCTACTTATTACCAGTTCTTTCACACAGAAGTTTAAAAAAAACTCTAGCCTTTTATTGATGCTATAGAAGGAAGTACCTATCGGTGGAGAAAGTGCTGCTGTCATAGCATTATAATTAAAGTTATCCCCATATGAACGATGATTCGCTCTCTGAGGTGGACTTGCTGGTATAGACTGTGACCTTTGTGATACCGTAGAAGAAATTCCTGCCAACATCTGTCCCAACATCTGTAACATCTGGAGCTCTCGAGCATGCTCAGCTTCCCGACGCTTGTCCTCAATTTTGAGCCTCTGCTCTTCATATCTGTAAAATTTCTCTTCTGTATCCACGCTCTGCTGTAGGAATTTTTCCATCATTTTATCCAACGTTAAATTTGCATGGCGTTTCTTTGATCTTTTGGGCTGACTGAGAGGTGGAGCAATAGTTGGAGCGCTGACTTCTTTAAAGCCTAAAACAAGAAGAGAGACAATTTATTTTGTATGAAGAAAAATAATTTTCTAAGAAGAAAGCAGCAAAAAATCTCCCTATGAGATGCGTACCTAACATGTCATGAAGTTGTCACACTTTTTCAATGTGAATTGTAATTATTTCAGGTATTTTTATTTCAGTGTACCAAAGCAAAACCACAAGCTTCTACAAAGTTATAAAGAGAATACAAAAATCGCAGAGAGGCATTTTTTAATTGTTGTAGTACTAAACTTCAACAATAGGAGCCTTTTTGATCTTCTAAAAAGGTTTAAGTGAAGGCTATTAAATAGTATAGCCTCATTTGTGTATTGCAGGTAATTACATTAATCTAAATTGAGTTTCAGTCTGTTGGCATTCTAGATTTGCATTTCAAAAGAGCATTAGTGTAAACAACTCTTTGATAGGGTTTATGTGTAAAAAGAAGGTTGGTTAAACGTCAACCAATTGGCTGATTCCTCAGTGATGTCAACTTCTGAAGACAGGTTCACAGTTGTATTAAAACCACGGCATTAATCTAGATTTAAAACAAACAAATAACACTGCCTCCCCCTCCCCCCCCACCTCCACAACACAAATACAGAGCTGAGGGTGAAGAATGAGCAATGAAAGGACAGGCTTTAACTAAGGGCTGGTTTTGTCCGCAAGCCCACTAAAGTTAGAAGCGGGGTTTCTGAACCAACTCAAGCAATTAATTATGTAAAAGCTCTCCTCTAGCTTTCTTGCCCATCTGCAACAATAAGCAGATTTTTCAGGTATTATTGTCATCATCGTTTTAATGCCGATTAACAAAACTGCACGTAGTCTGGAGGGAATGGGAAAATCCTCCAACGAGAAGGACACCTCTTTTCTTGCACAGCGCTACCTGACACTTTGTCTTGATAATCTCTGCGCCAGTTTTCCATTGATAAAACACCGATAAAAACTCACTCCGGTCTCCATCCCCCGGCATCTCCCCCTGCTCGTTTTCCAGCGTTTCCCGGCCCCCGCACCAGCCCACTCCAGCGGCGGGGGGAGGGCGGTGAAGCTTTCGGAGACTTGCAAGGTGCAGTGGAGAAGGTGGGGGGGTGATTTCGGGGCGGCAGGGAGGTGGGTAAGG